GTGTTATTCTGTGTAGGCTCCCTGTGTGCGTGCCACTGCTTATCTTTAATACAGGGAGCCTAAACAGAATAACACCTGAACAGTGCTGAAAACAAGAAGTAGCCACTGCAGCACTGTAGACATAAGGCGGGTAACCATGAGAATTTTAAATTTTAAAATTTGAAAAAATTTTAAGGAAATTTTTAAAACTGGAATTGAAGATTTTAAAAGTGCCAGTTTATGAAAATCAAATTGATGTGTGTAGGTTAACAAAGATTTTGTACATATCAGAAAGATATCAGCGGGGAAGATTCTGATATATCGAAACCTGTTAGCAACGGCGAAATGAACAATTGGGAAGACTAGTGTTTTTTAAATTTTAAACTGCGTGCAGTGTAGCAGCTACGTGAGAGTATACACCTGATGATGGCCGTTTGTGGCCGAAACATGTAGTGTAGAAGAAAGCAAGATGAAAGAACTACAATAAATTATTGCACTTAGGATGGAGTTTATGTCATATATCGAATAAGTGATTCTTAGTACTTGCAGAAAACTGTTTCTTGTTCTTGTGGTGATGTTATCACGGGAACAACACACAGGACACAGTAGATCATTTTGTGGACCAGTACAGGAACATTGTCAACCATGCAGTATTTCCTGTGTTAGAATTTGTGACTGCTTTCTTTGTGAATGAATGCCACGTAACTGAGTTGCTGTGATATTTCACAGAAGTTCAACAAGCTTCCATTACCATATAGTAAAACATTTGATTTCAATTCACATAAGTAAACAACCTTCTTATTTCACTGCATCATTCATCTTCATTCACTTGCTATGAAAATTGGTTTTTATTGGTCTGCATAGTGTTGCCACATAGTTTGAAGCGTTTGAAGTTGTATGAAAATGTTTTCACATGGCTGTCCAGTGTTTTGACATTTTACAGTTTTAAGTAGATAAATGGTTTATACATATAATATTAAGTACTGGACTCTTGTGTTAGTAATTTTATCATTTTCTTTGTTTATTTACATATGTAATAACCCTCATAATTAATGTAAGGAAGAGATTGAAACTGGATGATATGTCATATCAAGGCTGAATCTGAATTGAGTGATGGTGCAGATGCAGATAATGATGAAGTAGGTGGGTGTTAAGGATAGCAGCACCAGTTAGATTGCAGGGAATGGTGGAGTGAACTGTTTGAATGAACTATATGATGTCCAGCTGGAGAAGCTAGTAAATTTATAGTCATAACCTGGTTTTATTGGAAAACAAAGTATGAGATGATTAACTGGATTGTTGTCATTTGAATATTCCTCAGAATTTTGCCTGTAGAAATACATAATCTGGTAGCCAAAGATATGCATGCCTGTGTTGTATCTTGAAAGCACTCTGCAGTACTTACCTGGATTATGATATTGGAAGTGGAAAGAAGTGACAGTGCATGTAGTAGCAGCTCTTGTTGCTGCATAAATCAGAATGGGACTATGCTAGAAACCCACCTGATAATCATACATTCCAGACAAATACTAGCTAACCCGAACTTCTGGATTTTTGGAAATGTTAGTTAGTTAGTTAGTTAGTTATTGGAGAGGGTGGGTTTCCCCATGCACTGAGACCTGTATTGGTCCATTGTGCTTCCCTCTATGATTTCTACCAGTCTATATCCTACCGGTACTGGTGCTTACCATCAGTCCCGCCCAGCCAGCGAGACCGGCTCTACTAGCTGAGAGGTATCTATAATGCTTTCCCCATCTACCAGAGGTACTAGAGACTGCTGTTGGGCGGGAAACGTCCGTTAATTTGGCTCAGTGACCTCCTTTGGAGATATGAGGTTCTTTTACGTGCCATAAAGCTACGACACGGGACCCACGGCTTAAAGTCCCTCCCGGAGGACTTGTTCCCTGAATTTTTCCGCCCTTAAAAATTCGACGACCTCCGCCAGGTATTTGAACCCGCGTACTATGAGTCATGAGGTGGGAACGTTACCTCTAGACTACGAAGGCTGCTTTTGGAAATGTTAAGTAGAGATCACTGCCAACCTTTCCAGTCGTTTCTGCATTTCAGTGATATGACTGAGCACCCCCCATAAAAGAGAACTATGATGCTTTCTTTGAAATTCGCCCAGTGGTTAACCTCACCAAGAATTAAAACGTCTATGTCTAACACAGTCCGTCAATAATGAAACAAATTGTTCTTTTTCCTTCCACGTCCACTTTTAACACAACATGTTTTGGCTCTAGATGGCCATCTTCGGCTGTCTTGATATTGTCGTGTGTTGGGTGTGTCACGCGACAAATAACTTCACGCCATCGTGGATATAGCATATTTATTGCACATTCGCTCTTACACTTATTCAAGTCACAATTTCCCAATTACTGCCATCGGCAGTATCACAATTACTTCTCCTGCTGGAGTCACTGCCATTCATTCGATACAACTCAGCTCATAGCTGCTGGACTTCAACTCATACTGAATACTACTGAATAGCATTCGCTGCTCCGTATTTAGGCTTGGCATGGACAACATAGAGAACACATTGCTGCTCAGCAACAGCTATCAGGTATTGTTGTCAGGTGTTTCTACCTACGCATTGCCTAGCAATAGTCGCTGCAGGGATTTGCCTGTTGCATGATGTCACAGCCTCGTGGTGAGGGGTGTTTACCAAGCGTTGCGTAATGATGGGAGGAATGGGGGTACATGACATCACTCGTGGAAACACAGAGGTCACGTGACCCCTACTTCCTCTTGCGCCATCCACATGACAATATATTAAAACTGCTACACTGTATTAATATGCGCTAAAATCACACACTGGAGTCCACTTAATGTAATAAAATAACATAAAAATCTATTAAAATTTTCATTACTTATGTGAAATTGTATTCCACCTCACAAGGGGTGCCGTCCACTTGTTTAGAACGGTATATTTATCACTAGGTTTTTTATTGCAGAAGCTTGTTCTTTATGTTCTTTAGCCCGTTGTTCTGTTACATCTGCAATCTGCAGTATGCCCCTTGCTTGTGCGCTGTTCCCTCTAGCAGCGTGTGGTGTATTTTCTTCCACTTACACTTTTTTACACCACACGCTGCTAGAGGGAACAGCGCACAAGCAAAGGACATATTGCAGATTGCAGATGTAACAGAGCAACAGGCTAACAAACATAAAAAGAAGCTGCTTTAATGAGACAACAGGGTGGTGTTCCTTAGCCGCATGACGCTGTGAAGGACCCCCATGATGGCATAGCAGGTACTGTGAAATTACTTGCTGCATATGCCAGTTTACAGCATCTGTATAATTCAAAGATCGTGCCACTAAGTGCTTTATTGTTGGGTGGTTTTGGATGCAGTTTCTTTCATTGTATCACTGCCAAGGGTTGTGGAGGAAGATAATGGTACAAATTAATGTATATTTTGTGAACATCTGGGAAGTTGTAGGAACATGTCACACCATGTAGCCATATCACACAAGTAATGTGCACTGAAATTCAAAAAGTACTAAAATGAAATTACTAGCTGCAGGTTCTCGTGGCACAGAAGTGAAAGACATATCAAGGTTTGTGACATGCATGGTAGGTGATCACAAATGTCTTGAGTTTGTTTTATGTGCTAATGAAGACATAGATGAGACGAAGGTAAGTTTCTGCAACCTCATGTACCTTCAGTTTCGTTTACATACCCCTCCAAACCAAATGTTAATGTAGTGAAGTGAACTGGTACTGTCATGAAGACTGATTATCACACATTTACTGGATGGACTCTGCTACATATTGCCTCCACAGAAGATGCAAACAGTTGTGAACTGTTTGAATTATGTTAAGTAGGGAGGTCTGACAGTTGTCATTGTTGTCATATCACTATGTCAGTTCGTAGCTATGGTAATTACTGTTAGATTTCTTGGTTCTCCTTCATAAGGGAAAAGTAAGCTTACGAGATCACCATACTGTCTGTGCATATGTGCCCTTTAAACTTTTGAAACAGTTGACGACTTTTCAGGATTGGAGGCTACATTTGACCTCATTCTTATTTTGCTTACTTTAATTTCCAGCAGCCAGTAATAACATCATGGCAGATGCACAGGCTTGTGAGATAGAAGGCACGCTATCGTCAATTAATTTGGGGTCCAGGTAATCTTAAAAAGAAATATATATATATATGCCCCCCAAAGAATGTATAGTAAAAATTTGATGGCTATGACAACAAGTTTTCTTCCTCCTGCGTTCTGACATTGATAGTTAATGGATCATTGGAGGTAGGAAGTCGAAAATTTGCGCCAAGAATCATGCAGATGATAATGGTGCAAAACTATTGATTTATATTCCACACATTTAATGCAAGGAGAGAGAAGGAGAGCATTTAGCAATGATATTTGCACATATGTAAGTGACTGTACACTGGGTTTTGATAGGTAATTGGATATATTGAACACTTACAGATAGTGACTACAAGTAAGTGTAACACTATCACAAAATCAGATTCTGCAGTTCACTACAGCACACACTTAAGTCTGCTCCTTGGTAACTGGTTGTCTGGTAATGAGTTCCAACAATATCCTCTGCTTCTGTGCTCACATTTTTACCAGCTGGTAGCTGTCCCACAACTGTCGGACTCCATTCCACTGCACTTATTGAAGTGAACTCTAATGATGTCTAATGATATAGCCTCAGAGTGGACCCATGGAGATATCCACTTCCAACATCTCTTCTGTTGTTGCATCACAGCAGCCGCACAGATCATGTGGCAGCACTGCTTCAAGCAGCTCCCCTTTTGTTGCGTGATGTCACCACAGATGTGACATGTTCCTCTGTTGTATGTGTACAGGCCATTTTACCTAGCAACGGCTCTATGTGTTAAAATATTTTGTTTTTCAAAACTGTAGCTTCTACTACTACTTCTGCTACTGCTGCCACTGCTGGTGATGGTGGTTGTGGTGGTAGTAGTAGTAGTAGTAGGAGTGGTATTTTATAACAACCCATAACATTTCTAATGGGATATGATAAAAATTTCTGACTAGCAGGATTTAATTTTGTGATGATCTAGAAATGAGCCCAACATGATAACCCATCAGTTGAATTGCATTTTACTGTTGGATTGTAAACTTGCATTGCCTAAATATTATATTAATGGCACAAAATTTTGGCAACTATAAGTCTACAGTAGAAAGTAAGCTCTATGATTTGTGTCTGAAACACCTTCTGCTCATCTAGTGAAGGAATGCATATGAGAAATCATGAACCTCTGATTTCTTAAATAAGATGTGAAACTTGATCTTAAACCTACAGCTCCCTCTTGCCTTCCCACCGCTCAGAAACCCAAATAGTGAACACTAGCCTAAGCTCTGTTCAAATATGAAATTATTATTATCTACTGTGAACATTGCATTTATATTTAACGATGTCTTTGGTATGCCCCCATCATGTTTTGTGTATATGCGGACTAGAAAGGGACTAAAGAGATGTACCTTTAAATATTTTCAGGCAAAATATATCTTTATAGTAATTTTAGAGTAAAGATCAACTTTGATGATATTTAAACTGACCAGTGTTGAACATATTGTAACGTGTTTTCTTTTCTGATCCCACTTCTGACACCAGTGTAACGTGTTTACGTTACCGAAGACGCCGTAGAGATGGTTAATTGGTTTATTTAACAATCTACAAATAACGGCTACAATTGATTATCACACAGTTCCNTGGTCATTGGAAAACATAAGTTTTATTAGCTATAAAATGAACCCAATGGCAAAATCATGGCATTGTATACAAGCTATACCAGTGTAATTTCTTTTGAATTTTGAACCCTGCCACCAATATGTCACAAGCTGTGGAGCACCAAAATCTGGTGTTCTTGCTCACTTCTTTATGATTTAGAGTTTTACCAGATTTTGTTGAAATCCAGAAAGGTCCACATGAAATTTGCATTTTTTATGATGAATTAACATTGTTTGGGATTACTTGTAATTGACCAACTCTGGTCCACTACATTCCCTAGGAATGGAATGGACAAAATCATGTTTTGTGATAACTTTAACACTTTCCTGTCATAATGTCAAGATGACAGCACCAGAGACTATCATATTCCAGCAATAAAAGGATACAACATTACTAGTTTAATTGCTGTGTTTTGGAAGCACAATTCACTGTAGGTTGCGGTGCAAGGGCCGAGAAGGCCCACCCCTTGTACATTCATACAATTGCTGTGTTTTCAATACTACTATGCTATATTTTTGAAGGTAAGGTTTTGGCCCCATGGCTTTGCTACCCAGGTTTGTTTACAATTTTGCTCATTTCTTCTAACCTTTGGGATCATTACTCCTAGATCTACATCAATTGACAATTTTATGTCACAGATTTAACACTGTTTCCACAAGTTTTGAAGCAAACCTGAGATAAATTTGCTTCATAGGTGAAGTAGTTTAAACTGAGGTGTCTTATTTTGAGAACAGGCTCAGAACAAAATATTTTGTCTATTTAAAATTGAGATTGAGAGTTAGTAATCAAGAATATTTTACTGCCAGACTTATATCACAAGTTTCAGAAATATATGAAACTTAATCGGTATATTGGGATAGTTTTATGTCTGCAAGGAAAATTTNTTTAGTAATCAAGAATATTTTACTGCCAGACTTACAAAAATTTTTGTATCAGAGGAAGTAGGCTAAATTATAATGGGTGTAGAATCCATAGGATTGACTTGGTAAAATATAAAAATGGTCATCTGTTTGCTAATTCCTGCGGTATTGTGAACAGATGGCTGAAGTTACTTATAGGGTTAACAGTATAGGGAGACTTGAAATAACATATAGCTTAGCCATTAGTTTCTGAACCCAGTTATTTTAGGTTGAGATTGCTACTGCAAGGTTGGAGACATAAATCACCTCATATTGATCAAATTCTCTCAAATTGATGTAAGCAGAAAGTATAAAATTATGTTCTAGGATCTACAAACCTTGTAATTTTGTCTGTAGTAAGGTAGAGTCATCACAGCAATGCAGGGAATCATTAATATCTGTAGCCATAGCTCAAGCGGTTAGTCGCTGGCTTCCCACCATGGCGGCCTGGGTTCAGTCCCAGGTCTCGTCAAGTTGGATTTGTGGTGGACAAAGTGGCACTGGGGCAGGTTTTCTCCAAGTACTTCGGTTTCCCCTGCCAATCTTCATTCCACCAATTGCTCCACAATCACCCTTACCTATCATCTGGGGCTGGTACAATAGGCCAGAAGTGGACTCAGTCCCACCTCACCAAGTAATAAAAAAGGTAGTCATCACAGCAATGCAAGGAATCATTAAATGTACCACACTCTCTCTCTCTCACTCACACACACACATACACATGTGTATGCGCACACAGACTGGTGTTTATCAAGGAATATTGGTGCCATCAGTGCCTATTTTCTTATGTTAAGTTTGTACCTAGCTAAAATTATTGGTGACCATTGTGGATTTGCTGATCAGCTACAATGCATTCATTAGATATGGGCGAAAAAGTGGCAGTACAGTGAGACTGTGTCAGATGTTTATCAACTTCAAGAAAGTCTGTGACTTTGGATGCTATATTGTACAACATTTTCATTGAATTTGGTATACCCATTAACTTAAATGGTTGAATTAAAACTTGTTTCAAACAGGTGAGATGGTTTGTTGCCATTGCTTTTGAGCTTTGGTTCAGAATATGCCATTAGGTGGGACTGGAATTGACTGGGACACATGAGCTTATGATCTGTGCTGTTGATATTAATTTATTGGGCAAAATGTTAGTACCATAACAGAAAATATAGACGTTATATTGTAGTGGTTAGAAGTGAATGGAGAGCAAACTGAGTATATGTTTATATCTCACAATCAGAATACAGGACAAAATCATTGTAAATTGCCAATAAATCCTGTGATAATGTGGCAAAACTCAAGTACATATTGGAGAATAACAGTAACAAATGGAAAGTGCACTGCCAAAGAAACTAAATGCTTGCTGAGTTCTGGGATTGCTTCCTACATGTCACTGCAGAAATTTTTGCTGATTGCTGTGCAGAAATACATAGATTGTAATATGGAAAACATTCTAGGCTCTAATTTGAAGGGGTGTGAAATTATGTCTCTTCCTATACCTCCACTCCCCCATACGTCTTCATGGTGTAGTGCATAACTAATTAAGCATAGGGACAACTTTATCGTTACTTTACTTTGAGAGAATAACACAAATTGTTCGTGTTTGAGGTCTGATTTCTGAGGGAGATATTTGGACATAAGAAGGAAACTAACAGGAGGCTGGTGAAAACTGTGAATTGAAGAGCTTCATAAATTGTAGACTTTGTTCCAGGAGTTATGGAATACACTCAGAAGCAGTATTCTGCTCTTTTGGGTGGCGTCACGCAGATGGACAAGTCCACTAAGTTGGACAGTGTGTGGAGAGGTGAAGCAGGTCAGTTTGTTGCCTGGCTTTGTGTAGAGCAAATTATCTCATAACTGTTATACTTCACTTTCACATTCCATTGTGAGAAATGTCACATCATAAATCTGGAATCTAGAAAAGAAGAAAGTTGAAGAGCAATAGATGTAGGTCATTTTATGAAATTTGGGACACACATGAGCATAAGTAAAAGTTCTTGTAACGTAGCACAGGAGTAGCTGCATTTCAGCATGACTACTATTATAGGAAAGGGTTTGTTTCTCACATTGAGAGGCACCTCCATCACACACTACTATTTCTCTTTTTTGTCTCCTCTTGCACACACCCAGTTCCAGCCGTACTGAATTTGAACATACTCTTCACCAAATATTATTGGGGTGTTCAAATCAAAAAGGAAGATATGAGCCGGACGTTTCCTGCATGGGAGATGAGAGAAATATAGATATTTAGCAGGATAACCTCATCATGAAAGATGAGTTGGAAGGCCTAGCCTTAGATGGGGATAATACACATGATCTTAAAGAAATAGGGTGTGAGTATGGGCTGGATCCTTTTGGAACGGGATCGAAACTGGAGGCTGGATTGTGTGAACATCATATCATACAGTATAATCCACCATGGAAACCCCAATCTTGCATATCTCACGCTTATTTTTCCTGCGCGAGTATAGTTCAAACTGTAACATCTCAGCCTGAGAGATTACAGTAGGTAGGCACATTGGTAAGGAAATGTGAGACAACTGAAATGCCAGTTCAGTGAATGGTGTGTTGCGCCTTCCTAGCCAAAGATAAGCCATAAAGAACAGTGCAATATAAGGCCATCTTCCATGTTATGACATTGTCACATAGTGACCATAGATGGGTTTTGGGTTGATGTCTGGATTTATTGGATACTTACAATCGTAACTACAAATAACTACTATGTTCTCTCTGAGTTACTTCAAAGGTCACTGCAACTACAGCACACAATGTCTTCTCAATCTTCACTAGCCATTGCTTGCTAGTGGCTTCCAGCAGAGGATTTACCCCTTCCTCTAGATTCCTAAACATTCCACAGCCTCAGCTATGAATTACTAGCCCTCGGCATGTACCTCACAGAAAATGCCTCCTTCGTTATTGGGTGTTCTCTCTGTTATATCCATGTGATGTGAATGTGCAGCTGTGATTCATGGCATGACTTGAGGGCAGATTGTTGGAAAGCTTAACAGAATACACACTGCAAATAGGGTTCTGTGCCCGCCATGTGTACGGGGAAGTTCTTACCTTTTTTGAATGGTTCACTGCAACTGGTGCGCCGCTGGCTGCGAGGCATGTACGAACTTTGCTGATGAATCAGCATGCCTAATGACCAGTAACGTTTAGTTTGAAAGAAAGTTATTAACTTTGTAGACCACTTGATGTCATTATGTTTCATGGCAAACAGTGTGGTTCATGAGTTGGAAGTTATGATTTGTCAGCAGTGGGCTGCAGCTATCAGCTCCATTAGCTGTTTGTTCTAACTTACAATTAGTGAGTAGTGTGTTATGTCATGGCACAGAATACTTTAGAGCAACATGTGATTCTGTATTACACCTCTGTGAAATATCAATCTGCTAGAAAATGTTGATGTAAATTTCATGATGAAAGAGTTCACAGTTATATGAGCAGGATCCTCAATAGACAAGAAACAACAAATATATAAGCGTCCAGTGCTTATTGAGAAGTTAGATGACATAAGGGCCCAACTGAACTTACACCTAGAAAATCACTGCAACATCTAGCTCATGGGACTACGAGTGTCAGAGTCCAGTGCAAGAACAGCAACACAATTGCTGAAGCTTAGTAAGACAACGGTAATCCATGCATTGCTGCTGCACGATCTTGCTACTAGTGTTTATTTTTGCATTTGGTTTCTGTGATCTATCATCGAAAGTGAGTTGATCTGCAGTTGATATTCTTTTCTGGTGACACATGATTTCACTTGCAGGGATTCATAAATGCTCTAAATAATCAATACTGAAATTCACAGAATCCACGTCTTACCCACGAAGTCCTGCTCCATCGTGTGAAAGTTGGTGACTGGTCTTCTTAAGTGCAAGAGGGATTGTTGGACCTGTGTTTTTTAACCAAACAATTATGAAAGATATGTACAGGTCATTTTGGGCAGTTTTTTCCAGAGTTAACAGAAGAAGAAAAGTTATGGCCGGTTTCAGCAGTACTGTTCTACTGCCCACACTGCACGTATGTCTATGCAGGCTTTATATGATGTCTTCGGAGACAGAATTATCAGCAATGATATTAATGATATTTGGCCAGCACGTTCACCTGATCTTAATCCTTGGGATTCTTTCTTCTGGGGCCGTTTGAAGGACAAAATTTACAAAAGTAACCCTCAAATGGAAGAAGAACAAAAAGAAAATATTTTTAGCAAAATTGAAAATATTTGTTCAGAACACTTTCTGCCAGTGTGAGGGATGTCTGTATGTAGAGGGACAGCATTTTCAACACCACATGTGATTTATGAATGGTAACTACTTCATTCTGAATGTCATCGGCCAACATGCATATTGAATCTTTGACAAAATTCATATCCACCTCGCAGCCAGCAGTACACTGGTTGCTGGAAAGGGCAGTGCCATGAGCTAGTCGGCAAAGGTGAGAACTACCCTGTACACATGGAAGCAGGTCTTGTGGAAGAGTATTAATTACAGTGAGAACCTGTAAAATATTTTAAAGATAATACAGTTATTGTGACAGCAATGTTGTAACCATTCATTAGCCAGTGATTACACCAGGATGCAATACTGGTACTACCATAGTCCAGTAGAGTTCATTTTTACAGACAAGTCTAACATATATATAGGTACACAGATTTTATAGGTCATCACCAGTTCCTATATTTGTCCCACACCAAGCTTCAGAAGTAACACACTATTCAAAGACAAAATCCAGTGAATGAAGTGGTTCTGAGGATGTGTACATATTAGGATTTCCAGCAGTGCTGTTGTGCTATATTGGGTAGCACTGTGCTCTGTAAATCTGTGTTGTGTTGATATCCTTTTGGAACTTTGTTACTGAATGGTGGTGTTTAGAATTCCACCCGTACTGGAATTTACTAATTATTGCGGGATGATAACACTGCTGTTGTTCTGAAGGATATAACTTACATTTCTGTCATATGACCACCCATTCTGCATGATTAATTTTTTATTCAGCACAGTGTAAACTTTGCCACATCAGTACTGTATAAACAAGGATCCAAAAATTTCAGTTTTTTGTTATAAGTTCTGTCTGATTGCAGAATTCAGGGAAATGATAGCTGCTGTACAGTCATGTGATACTGAATAAAAATACTCGGCACCATAAAATACAGTCGTACTTGAGTACTCTTTTCTTTATTAAAAGAAAGTGTATTGCATGAAAATATGCTTGTTCTTGTGTTGTAGGAATGAACCATATTGATGTGGAATACAGGCCTTGTGCAGCCAACCACACAGCAAATCATGATGGGTTAGGCTAACCATCCAGACATCACAGCTATACTCGGACAACTCCAACAGGTGTGAATGCTTAAAATTCTTCATCATAGGTATAGATGTACAATGCACTTGAATGGGAGATTGCGATCAGAAATGTTCTACTGTTTTTGTAAGACCAGTGTAGTTTTCAATATTTTGTCACTTGGCAACAGCCATGACAATATGCCCCTGTCTGTCATTGATTTTAAAGATCTCACCCATGTATCTTATTTGTCAGGAGGCATTGGTGGCAGTTGTGCATTTGAAATAATAATGATTTTTTTTTAGAAATTATTATTATTATTATTATGTACCGGCACTTTTTCCTATGCTGCTATACAGGGTGTCCCAGGAGGAATGTGCCAGACTTCGGGAGGGTGTTCCTTATGTTAAAATATGCTGATATAACCCAAAACACCTATGTCCAAAGTTGAACGGTTACGGAGATAATGGCCAGAGAAGTGTGAAACTTCGACCGGTGTTACACACTTGTTGATTACAAAATACATATTAAAACTGGCAGGAATATGTGGTTTCTGTAATGTTGATAATGTACGTAACATCAAATTAACTTGTGAGTGACATAAAGCCATTAAATTGAACTACAAAAAAAAAAACTCGCACACCATGTCATAGTTGTCCTTAGGGTTCCAAGCAGTATACATGACTGGCAAGCACTGACGTAACATGGCTGACTGCACATTCTGGTATAAGCTGACGACATAACTGTACTAAAATACAGTACCTGCTTTATAGTAATTGTTCAAAGTGTCCTCTGCCAGCTGCAATGCAGTTTTTGGCACGCATTATGAGGGACTGGGTAGCAAAAGCCTGTATGGTGACATATGTGTTCTGCTGCTGCAAAAATACGATCCCACAGTGCTGCTCATGAATCGACCTTAGTTTCGTAGGCTAACATCTTCATTTGGCCCCATAGATGATAATCTAGAGGCGTAAGATCTTGCGACCTCAGTTGCCATGCAACGGGCCCACCACAACCTAACCAGTGGTTAGGGAAGGATTCATCTAAGTAGTGTCTCACGTGCTGAGTGTAATGTGGGGGAGCCCCATCATGTTGGAAGTACATTTGGCTCCTTATCGTTAACGGGATGTCTTCCAACAAATATGGTAACTCATTCCTCAGGAAGGCTTGATACTTGTGTCCAGTTAAATTGTCGTGAAACACAAAAGGTCCAATCAACCTGTTCCCAAGCACACCACACCATACATTCACAGAAATTCTCTTTTGGAATTTCGTTACCATTATCTCGTGTGTATTATTATGGGACCACGTATGCACATTTCGTAAATTATTTACACCGTCCTGGGTAAAAGACGCCTCATCACTGAATAAAATGACGCTTAACAGTTCAGGATGAGCTTTTATGCAGTGGCACAAATCCATACTCTGAGCATGGTCGCCTGGTTCCAGATGTTGTACCCTTTGATCATGGTAAGAATACAACTCTTCATCATGTAAAGTTCCCCATACCTGCATACGTGATACACCGATGCGAGAGGCCATTCTGCAAGTGGACAGACATGGACTTCTCTGAACTGTCTCAAGAATGTTCTCTCATATGTTTATCATTCGTACATCCTCCCTTTCAGAGTGCACAGAAACACTTGGAAGAGAACCAGTATCACGCCAAATCTGGTGAATTCACGTAAATACACTTCGAGATGGAATCCTTCGATCAAAAAAATGCCTTTATTATTCTTCAACAGCAGCATGTGCATTGCCACCGCAAAATCCATACACAAAATGCATATCACAATATTCCACGTGTGAAAATACAAAAGGCATTTCAGCAATTCCGAACAACTAACCTACCAACCATTCACAGTGAGGCCGCAACGTACTCTGAAGGAAGCACATAAGCTTACGGCTAGTATGACCCGTCATCACCACACTCAACGACAAACATCGATAAGACTTGTCACCTGACAGGTACAGTGCGTGGACCCGCCAGAAGACCACACTTTTCTCGGGCCATTATCTCCGTAACTGTTCAACTTTGGACATAGGTGTTTTGCGT